CAATGTGCAGTGGCAGTCAAAAAAGCGAACAGAACGTTTGGAATCATTAAGAAAGGGACAGATAAGAGGACAGAAAATATCATATTGTCTCTATATAAATCTATGGTACTGTGTGCAGATGTAGCCTCCCCATTTCAAAAAAAGATGTATTGGAAAAGGTTCAGAAAAGGGCAACAAAAATTATTAGGGGTATGGAACAGCTTCCATATGAGGAGAGATTAATAAGACTGGGACTTTTCATCTTGGAAAAGAGATGACCAAGGGGGGATATGATTGAGGTCTATAAAATTAATACTGTTGTGGAGAAAGTAATAAGGAAGTGTCATTTGCTCCTTGTCATAATGCAAGAACTAGGGGTCACCAAATGAAATTAATAGGCAGCAGGTTTAAAACAAACAAAAGGAAGTATTTCTTCACACAACACACAGTCAACCTGTGGAACTCCTTGTCAGAGGATGCTGTGAAGGCCAAGACTATAACAGGATTAAAAAAAGAACTAGATAAATTCATGGGGGATAGGTCCATCAATGGTGTCCCTAACCTCTGTTTGCAAGAAGCGGGGAATGGGCGACAGGAGATGGATCACTCGATGATTACCTGTTGTGTTCATTCCCTCTGGGACACCTGGCATTGGCAACTGTCGGAAGACAGGATACTGGGCTAGATAGACCTTTGGTCTTACCCAGTATGGCTGTTCTTATATTATGTTCTTGGAGAAATTACTGTAAACATCTGTGAGGGACATGCTCTGTAATAAATTATGAGTAGTATGTATTGACCTGGTAATTGAGTGTGTTAACTGTATGAATATATTGGTTTACTTTAAGGGGAACTGTAAGGAGAACAAGCAGGAAGGGAAGAAGAATGGCTCAAGATAAGCCACTTCTCAGCTAACACTTAATTACATTTAAGACACTTTGCCCAAACTATTAACTCTTAAGATTCTAAGTCCTTACTCCAGCCAATTTGCAAAACTGGTTTTGATGACCTGGACCATGGTCTGAGAACCTGAAGATCAAAAGAAATATAGTAGTTTTAAAAAGGTACTCTGTCTCAAAAGGGGTTGACTGTTCAGAGAGGAGTTCAACAGGAACTAGACTGACACACAGGCACCCCTTAGGGATGTCTGAAGAAGTCAGGGCTGCGTGGGTTACCATTGGGGATAGTAAGACTTTAGGTAAGAGTGTTTATATATTGTGGTGTTGTTTTGAAAGCCTTTTATGTCTTCTGCTTTGTGCCTACTGTTAAAGTAAACAATATTTTGGGTTTAAAAAGATTGTTTGGTCACTATATCCACCACTAGTCACAGATTCCCAAAGAGAAAAATTCCAGATGCTGAAACCCATCAGACCTCCTGGATAAGCTCAATTGATACATAGGGTACTGCAGCCCATAGCCTAGTCTAAAAGTAGAATTGCAGAGTTCCACCTCCGGAGAGGTAAAGGTACAAGGCATAACACCTGAGGGAAGTGCACTCAGAGACACCAGAAAGGGGACAGAGGAGCAGGTGCATGTGTTACTGTGACATTATTGATCTGGGTCTTTGTGGACTTTTTGCCAGCATAAGTAAGGGTACTTCACTGTCCTGAATGACATTGTCAGGGGAATAATGCAGACACTTCAAATTTCTCATGTAGTTAACTGAAGTCTTGTTCATAGACTATATTTGAAGTAATTAGTTTGCAATTAAGTCAAATTATTGATGATTGCATCTAGTACAGGCTACAGGCAAGCTCAGGTCATATCTCAGATAACTCTATTAAATGAGCCATTGTGATGCCTCAGGTAACTAACTAATCCCTATAATTTTTCTGCAGCTATTTTGCATGCAATGGTTCTGTTGGTTTCAGTGACTCAGTAGTAGAGGGAGATTGGGCCTGTGTCAAAAGTTCTCATTGGTTTATTGACTGTTTAAAGATTTTTTTTATATATAATTTTTTTTTCACTGCATGCTAGCTAGAGCATCAGTGCTTGAGAGACTCTCTATAGTGCTGCTACCTCAGTCCCACTGCACCTGCCAGGGGAACTTAAGCAGAAATACAGGGGGAGCCCGTAAAGCACATGGACATTGGGACCCAGGGACTGGGTTCTCCCTGTGTCTCTTTCATGTAATGACACTAACACAGCCATTTAATCTAAACCAATAAGTCAATTGCAAAACAAGGGCCTGGTTCACCGAATACACTTTGATTGCTTTAAGCTCCTTTTGTGATGTAAACCAAGCTTAACTGTCTGGTAGAATCTGCCTGCTGTAGTGTAAGTGAATCTGCCTGTAAAAGTTAAACTTTTTTTTTTTTAATTAAGGTTCATACTACATATCTTCAGATTGTTAGAAATTAGTGAGTGGTTTCTTTCTCTTTGGGTTTCTTGTATTGTGTTCATGTATGATGTTTTAATAATTTAAAACTATTCAGTAAATCCCAGGCAAAAATATATGCAAAGGTGAGAGTATGTATTAGTAACTTACGTGTTTAAAAAAAAAAGTAAAATTGTACTTCTCTCTAGGCCTAAGTGTTATATACCCAGGAAATTCAAAGTTGAGATTGCATTTAAGAGAAATCCAAACATATTGAGATAAGAAATGGATGGTTAAAAAACTGAAACAGCTTTAGCTCTTCCATTTAGTGATTCCATGAGGGGGAAAACATTTAATATGTCTTGTAAAATGTCTAATCTAGAACCACAAACACTAAAATGCTTTAATGATAATACTGTGGTTATTGCGTGAGGTCACTACGTCATGAATCCAAATATGTAGAGAGCAGAGAGGGAGGCATAAACTCTCAAATTACCTCAGATAACTTCTTTGAAAATAAAAATATTACATTTAAAACAGGGCTTATCTCTGGCAATTCCAAGAATATTAGCAAGTGCTGGGTCCCATTAGGAAGCTGGAATTCTTCCCCATTGCAATGGTTTATAAGGCTCGCAATTCTAATAATGCAGAGCTGTGAAATACAGACTTAAGCTAAACCAAAATAAGCCACTGCTACTTTTATATCATATATAAATATTCATTTTTTTAAAATAATGGTTTTTATCTGGAAAATGTCTTGAGTATTGTTATGTTGAGATAAGAACTTTGGAAAGCATGGAAATGATTTCATGGTGTAATTTTGAAAGATGAGGTTGACTGTGATGAATTTGATCTTTGTTCCTGGTTCTGTAGATTAATACATATACTGGGTGCAATTCTGTGCTGCATCTCTTAGAGGTGCTGTACAGAACACACACCCCAGGAGGTGGGGGAAAAGGATGACTTTAAACCATACACGTGCCCTCTTGATTCTGGGGTGCCCCCCGGTGTAATTTAGAAAGCCGTGAGGAGTTGTCAGAATTGTAACAGCCCGTCCCCACCTGCCTATAGGCAGCTCTGCTTTCCAGAGTCTCTGCAACGCTACACGTACACCAGGACTTACAACAGTCCTCAAAGGACAGCCTGTGACTGTCTTCCTCAGTTTCCCGTGCTTGAAGAATTCTCCTCCTTCTTTGCCCCCAGCCACACCCAGGGCTCTTGGAGCTTTTTACGTTTCTTAAATCATTTTACTTGATGGGGAAGAGAGGGAGCAAGAATCTCTCCCATTGAGTATACTTATGTGGAATTTTTATTTCTAGTTTGTACTACTGTTCTTTTATGCTCATTTCAGGGGTGAAAGTAAGCCAGTATGGCATACCAGTAAAAAGTGGCCGCCGGTACCAGCCCATACTCAGCTGACGACATTAAAGTGCTGCTGTGGCAAAGGACCCTGCTTAAAGCGCTGCTGCAGCAGTGCTTTAACATCGTTGCCCCTTCTACCCTCCCAGGCCGCCGCCGGGGCCGGGGAGGAGCAGCTGCCCTGGGGCCGGTGTTTTAAAAGGGCCCAGGGCTGCGGCTAGAGCCCTGGGCCCTTTAAATCGCTGCTGGAGGCCCGGGTGCTGCAGGCCAGGCAGTGCAGCTGGGCAGGCTGGGGGACACTGAGCCCCACCCCTTCCGTCCAAGGCCCTGCCCCTTCCAGGGGCTGAGTTGGTCACCGTACCAGTAAGTGTTGAATGTTACTTTCACCCCGGCTCATTTCTGCTATAGCTTAAAGAAGTATGTATTTTCACCACCCTACAAGGTTTTTCCAAGAACTACATTAACAGTCTCAGTTTTTAAAGTAAGTTCTTATGTGGAACCACTTAACTATATGAGCAGATTTTTTTTATATTGCAACCTGACATAGTCATTTAGTTTTCAGAGTAATAGCTGTGTTAGTCTGTATTCGCAAAAAGAAAAGGAGTACTTGTGGCACCTTAGAGACTAACCAATTTATTTGAGTGAGCTGTAGCTCACGAAAGCTTATGCTCAAATAAATTGGTTAGTCTCTAAGGTGCCACAAGTACTCCTTTTCTTTATAGTCATTTAGATTACCATTCTTAGTGTTTCTTGAATATCTGTAAAATTTAGAAAGAAAAGATAGTGAGAGGATTTCAGATAGAATGAGACTCAAGTACTGTGATTGCCTCTAGGGCCATGGAAAACTAAAAATGGAATACCAGAATGTTGAGACCATAGAGAGGAACTTACCAACTCCTTCATGACAGTTTGGGGTCACAAGTTAGTTGTGAGTAGATCAGAGTGGAGATGGAAACATGGCTAGCACATTCATGAACAGCATAGATCAACTACAGCCCTACATAGGGATGTGAGATGCAAAGTGTAGCTGTTCTCGCAGGTTCCTTTCTCTTTTTCATGCCTTTATGAATCTACTGTGCAAAGTCCTTTAACTCAGACCTTACACAAGGATGCAGAACATCATCCTGTATTTATGGTCAACTTGTGTGCTTGAACTTCGTTAAAGTAAATTGTATTTTTGTCTTTAACTGTGCTGTGTGTATCTGTTACAGTTGAGAAAATTCTGCAGAATATTCCATGTATTTTTAGAAAACATCCAGTGAGCTTGAAAATGCCCCTTGTGTGTTTGATTAGTTATTGATAAAATAATTGTATGTCAGTTAATATAGATCTATTTTTCTTTCAGAATTTCCTAAACTTGTGTATTTCTGGATTCCAACAATAGACTGGAAATTGGAACAATCCTATAATTTCCCAGAATAAGAAGTGATTATGCAGCGAAGACAGAGAGGAGTAGATGTTGGACTAATCTTGCTACTTTCTCAAGTATTTCAATTTGGGCTTGAAAACATTCCACCTGTAACACTTGGGACCCTAGCACTGAACGTTTTTCTTTTTTTGAAGCCTCTGAAACCACTGCTGAAAGTGTGTATCAGTGTAGACCAAAGTTATTACCAGAAAGACTGGCAACGTTTGCTGCTTGCACCAGTTCACCATGCAGATGATTGGCATTTATATTTTAACATGGTCTCCTTGCTTTGGAAGGGGATAAAGTTGGAACGTAAGCTTGGAAGCATATTGTTTGGGTATATAATTGCAGTATTTTCAGTGCTGATTGGCATTGTGTACATGGTGTTGGAATTTGCACTTGCAGGACTTCTGAATGACCCTTCATACAAAATGAATTGTGCCGTAGGCTTTTCAGGTAAGGCATTCAGGAGGTACAGGTTAATTTAGTGAAGTGCACATTTATAGGTTCAGTATAGTAAAATTTTATAATATAGAAAATGGAAATATTTTCTCTGATGAACATGGATTAGAACAGGTAATATCCATCACTACTTCTTTGAGTGCTTGTTCATACATATGTATATCTTTCACTCTTGGTGCGTGTGTGCCCATGCACTTGAATTTAGATTTTCTGGGTGGAGGCTTGAGGACTCACAGAACAGAGGTCCAGCCTCAACTTACACTGCAGGCCAAAAGACTCCAAACTTGAATGCGTGTAGTACATGCACACCAAGAGTGGGATATATATGGCCAACATGTTTTGTCGAATTACAGTTATTGTAAAGTGAATAGTTTTCTTTTTCTATTATTATATATTTAAGTTTACAGTTTCTGCACAATCAAAGTCAGCAGCAAATACTGAAAAATGTTTTTGTTACGAATACTTGTAATCTTAAGATTGCTGCTCTTGTGCTTTGAGCACAGGGCAGACAGAGAACGCCACTAGCTTTTAGATTATTAGTCCTCAAAGATACTGGCTGTGGAGGAAAAACTCCACTCTCTTTATTCAAAAAGCCAGTGTCTCATTTATCTCTAGAACCCTTCCTACTTATTTTCTAACCAAAGGTTCACTTTCTATCCTCAGATGCTGCTCAGATTTTTCTACCAGCCCTGGCTATTTAACATTCTGCAGTATCTTTGTCTAATCAGACCCAGTCATTTATTTTGGCTTTTGACCAGTTTCATTTCTCAGCGCTGAGTATACTTGGCCCCAAGTTCAGGGATTCCTCAAAACACCCCAGATGTTATCAGCCATTTTTGTTTGTTTTGCAGTTGAGTTTTTCACATCATCTGAAGTCAACTATTTCTTTCTTGGTGTGATTTTTTTATTGTTTTTAGGAGTATTATTTGCTTTGAAAGTCCTTAACAATCATCATCACCCAGGAGGGACCAGCAACATCATGGGAATTCATGTATCCAGAAGATATGCTTGTTGGCTGGAGCTTGTGGCCATTCATTTATGTTCCCCAGGGTAAGTTAATTAAATCAGTCTCAGGTCTCACATAATTTTTTGGATCCATTTAGGTATATATACATTGTGACATATGAGCAATGACATCTGGTACCCAAAATAAATAGGGGAGTTGCAGGTAGAATCTGCATCTCTCTCCTCCACACCTTGTAGGTTGATCGTGCTTGTCAAAGAGGAAAAAATGGGACACCTTGCTCCTGGGGGTTACTGCGAAGTGTTTTGGTTGGGAAAAAGAAGGGACTACCCTTCCTTTTCCTACGCACTTATCCTGTTAGAATGAAAAACTGGGATATATTGCATGAAAAGGCTTGGCAGGCAAAAACAAATATTTATCCATCTGTCACTTTTTTACTGTTCATTACTAGTGCCAGTCCCCTCTTCTCCCCCATCTATCTCTTTTTATCCCATTTTCTCCCAAACCCTACACCAATTAAACCACAACCTCATTGGCCACATGACTCTATTCTACCCTATGATCAATCCTCCCAACCCATCCTATCCCTCTTTTGGTTTAGAATCTTCCTCTTCTTCCTTTTCTACAAATTTCTAGAAAATTGGTTATATATCAACAGTGTTAGGGCATAGAATATTTTATAACTTCTTAACCATAATGGAAAATGATAAACCCACCAAATATTAATTTTTTTACCAGTCTGTGAACACCATTTACCTGCTTCAGGGGGTGGTTAAAAAACATGAGACACACAAAAAAACACTCCCTAATCAAATGGTAGTATAGCTTAGGAAAAGTTCCCTGAGCTGGAAAGGAGGAGACCGAGAATTTAAATCTCCACTCTTAGTGATGTTTAAATTCCTGTGCAATTTACTAGCCTTACTATTGACTGCTGTCATGAACTCCAGTCTAGGAGACAGGGAAGAGCTACTGAACATTCCCCCACCCACTCACCCACAATTTTTCACTAAATTGGCAGAGAGCTTGTGCAAGGTCATTGCAGGCATAGAGTCAAGCTTTCTAACATGACCAACCCAAATTTTATAATTGCACTATACTACATTTCAGTGTGTCTAAACTACTGTACTATTTCTAACCACTATATTACTCACACTCCTCTACCAGAGTCTAGGATAGAATCTAGGTTCCTGATTACCAGTATTCTACTGCTGAATAATAAAATAGTTGTGTTACCCGCTCTGAATGTGTGTCAAGTCCTTCTCCAGTGGCTGATCTGGAAAGGGACTTGCAATTACTCCTGTAGCTCAAATAGTAAGGGTCTAATTTAACACTCTTGAACGTCAGGGGTTTCAAACCTTGCTGCTGATCTGTGTGGGGGAATGGTATGTTTGCATGTGATTCACACTGTGAAAAGACCACTTTAAAACAGTTTTTTACTTAAAAATATAATGTGTAAATCATAATGTCAATCATCACAATCATGAATCATCAAACTTGTATTCTAATGCAAAACCTGAGCAGTGACTCCAGAAGTGTTAAGGCAGAATAACTTCCTGAATCCATGGTATTTGTGGAAATCATATATGCTAATTTATTGATATAATTGATATAAAAGCATATGAGATGACTGTTAAGGTTTTGCTTTAAATTGCACATTTGAAATTGGGATACGGATTGGTTTTTGGGTATCTTGGAGATTGAATTGAAAGTCTTATGGGGCACTATAATGTGTTATTTGTGGAGTATGCAATATGAAGATGGAAAAGAATGCACAGATTTTCCTCCTTAATTTCTTACTTCCATGCTTTTAAGGTGGCGGATGTATGGGATGTCTCCTGGCACAATTTTACTGTCAGTGAATGTAGTTGTGTGCTGATTAAATTGTAAAACTACTATAACTTCTTTGACATTATTGCAAAAACCTTCCTACTTCTTTCGTATGCATCTTAAGTGAATGTCTAGTTTGTTCAGCCATCTAACTGCTGCATCACTGAGGGTAGCAAGGCATTATAATTTACCCTTCTGTCTTCTAATGGTGCGCTCCTCTACCACATTTTTGACCATCTGCTTTGCTGCTTGGTAGTCACATTGTGGAGCCTGGATTAAGCCAAATTTCTGTGTTGTGGTAGCCATTCTGGCTGTTCCAGGCCACAGATTGTTAAGCCTAGTCTAGGATCTGCATCCCAGATCACAAATTGTATCTAAATAAGGCCTTCTGAAATTAGTCAGCATGCCTGTCTCTCTATCCCAGAGTTGCTGCCAGTCTGTCACACAGCTGTTGGCTCTGATATACCATTGTTCAGCTGAGCTTTGGCAGCATTAGACATGAGTGATGAACAGCTATTGCAAAAGGATGTAATGAAATCAGTCGTAATCACTGCAGGTGTAGGTGTTTTCTCCTGGAGGCAAGCAGATCTTCTTATGGAATTATGCATTGCTTATTTGCACCTATTGGAATCATTGTCAGCCTTGTGTGCAGCAGGTTGCTTTAATGTGTCATAGCCCTCCATACTGTTTTAGGGTGACGTTATCTTGTCTTCACTTTTGGGGAGCTATCTGAGTCAACAAATACAAAGTTAATGTGTGGCTAAGGCAACCACTAATGATATGGGTGGTTGTGTTCTGCTCTGAATAAACAAGACTCACATGACTACTTCTTCCCCAAACTGCTGCAAAATATTTTGCTGGAGTGAATATCAGCACCAGGACTGAGGTTTGTAGAACATTTTGCCTCTACTTCTGAGGAGGATCCTGGATTTTGGCAGTATGGGAGGTGATCTTTTTCTTTAAGTGTCCTAGATGAGATTGGTGTGTTAGACTGTGGTCCAGATTGTTTCCTAAATAAGTGGCAACTGGCTGGAAATGGGGTGGACTGTCCTCAACACAGGCGGTCAGGAGTTGATTGGCCAGGTGATTGTTCAGATGGAAGGTTGTGGCTATCATCTTAGACTCACTTAATCTAAGATTCCACTGATAAAGGTAAACGGACAGAGAATTAATGTCCTGGGCGAGTGACCCATCTATATCCTGTAGATAATTACCAACGTCCGCAAGACATAAGTCATCTGCATACATGTACTTATTGGCCTTAGTTGTTGGTAGGTTGTAGGTATATATGTTGAAAAGGAGACGAGCCAGAACAGATACTTTTGCGAGTCTGCTATGGAGATTCCTGAGCTGGCTGACTTTGTCTCCAGCTTGCGAGATGAAACTGCAGTTTATTTCCACGATGAACCAGACCAGAGCTAAGAGGGAATAATCAGCAACATATCTCTCATTTGTGTCACGTAGAAGCTTACAGAGAGCCTGATTTTGATGCGCATCAGCAAGGTTATTGAACCATGAGTGCCCTTTGTTCAGGCTGTGATCAGACAACCCGAGTTCAAATTATTCGCCTAACACAAGACATTGAAGATAGCTTCAAGAAGGGCAAGAAAGTTGGTGCTGTTCTGTGGATCTGTCAGCTGTATATAGTACTGTCTGGCATGTGGGGCTGATCACCAAGTTGTAGCAGACTGTAAGCCCATGGCGGAGTCTGCCTATTATCATCATGGAAATGATGATGAATCGGAGAAACTTTCCTGATTTTAATTAGAAATCATATTCAAGTTAATGAATATAAATCCATTTTTCAGTTCGTCAAAAATGTTGTGTATGTAAGTTTACATTCGTGCCCAATCCAAAGAATCTGCAAGGTTTGCATTTAATTACAAATCAATAGAACATAATGAATCCCCTTACTTATCAACAACTGTTCTCCATTTCCTCTTATAAAACATCAGTTGAAAGCCTATCCAGACAAATAGCTCTTATGTTGTCTCCTGAAGCTTGTGCATCTTGGAATATGAAGAATTTCCAAGGGAGGCAGGTTCAAAAAATATGGACAGCTAATAACATTGCCACTGATAGTGAAAATTAAAAATCAGAACTCAGCAGCTCTTGACTCCTATTGTGAGACATGGAAAATGGGGTGATCTCTCAGGTAATCATATCCTCCAAAGCCATTTAGAGATTTTACATTATAACTAACATCTCCAGTTGTATTCAAATGAACAGATAACCAGTATGGATCTCGGAGCACTGGTGGTATGGAGTCAAAATTGCCTTCCCCTCTCAAAACTTTTTGTAGTAGCTGAAGTTTGAGTCTGATTCAACAATAGTCTTTGTTGGAGTGCATTTCAGTAATCTAGTCTTGAAGCTGCAACGGTTTAGATCACTGGGGCAAGGTCCATCTCAGAAAGACATGGACTCAAATTAGGTCTGATATAGATGAAAAAGGGACCGTATGCCACAGCATCACCTGAGAATCCAGGAGTGATGGATCTAGAAATAACACTCAGATTTCAGACTGTTGGGAAGGTGGACAACACACTTTGAGAGGCAGAAGAGGAGTGCAGTTTTTATCAGCATTACTTTTTCGTCTTATTCAAAGTCACACCTATCCTGCTTGCTCACCTCCACTCTTCCATTTCATTCTGTTACTCGAAAACTGCAGACACTGGGTTTGACTTTAAAAAAGGAGATGAAGGCCTTACATAAGGATCATTGGGGTGGAAGGATCCTTGAAAGATTTGCCTTTTGGAAATTTGCAGAGAGCAATAAGCACACTTACTGAAGAATTATCCTATCCTCTTCAAAAACGGTTGTGTACAGTGATATCCAAGATTATTTATCTACAAAGACACGTGAGTCCTTAACCTGATCTTATTACCAGGAGAAGATGATAAGAGATAATGGTACTCCTTCTGAAATAAACCCCAACTTTTGCCAGACTGGTAGAGGGAAAAAGTATGGGTTAGGGGCTGGGTGCTCTACTGAGTTTCACACTGCTTCTCAATTAAATTACAGGGGTTTGAGAAAGATGAAGGAAGGAAGATGGATGACCCCCAAAATACTTGGAGGGTGAGAAATGAGGAAGAGAGTGGGAACCTAACTTTTCAGCAGCCAGGAAGTTGTTGAGGGCAGAGTGATGGGATTCACCACTGACTCCCTGTGGCCGAGAGTGGCTGCTCCCTTCCTGCTGGGTGTCTCCTGACCAAGGCTGCTCTGCCTCTGCAGTGTCCTGCCTCTTCCTGTTACTTGGCCA